AATGTAGAATGTCAGTTTATCATGATTTTTGTCTAACCTGATTTTGGCCCTTTCTGTTAGGCACTCATATCAATATATGTGTAGTCTGAAAAATATAAAGTGATTGCTACCTGCCTGGCTCCCTGCCTCTTAGCTAATATTTGCATCTCTATTTTGTACCAATGGATGTTCTTATGATTTGAATTATGACAACCACACTTACAGATACCCATGGGTAATTCAATGCATCTGAAACTATAATTAGCTTCTCATTCCCTAGCTTAGTTCTGGCATCACCATTCCCATAAAGGCTTTGATAATTAAGCAGAAATACGTGGATCTCAACTATGTACAGTATTTGCTTTAAAAAAAAGTTGTTATTTGAATGCAATGGAAATTTCATCTGCCATCCAACACCCTAAAATTCTTAAATGTGGTTTTCCTAGAACCAATTAGGTTGACTGTGTGTCAGTCTGTTACATTTTACATTAATAATGTTTGGTGAGTAATTGCTCAATCTGATTTGAGCTTGTTACAGCTAAGCTATTTTTTTCAAAGTTCTATAGCAGTAATTAGACTCAGCTACTTCTAAAAGGTGAAAGGCATTTCTGTTAGTATTGCTTAGAGAAAGGTACCATCTGTTCTGAATTGAAAGAATGGAATCCAAGTATCTCCTTTACCTTTATATACTAGAGACAGACTTTGGAAATTAGCTCAGCTGTGGGCCAGGTCAAGCCACGATTCTTGGACCTCTCTTCCAGGATCCACAACATACTTCTCAATTTGTTGTTTGGGCTCCTTACATGTTAAGTGTAGAGTAAGCTTAATACATGCTGTATCTCTCAGTTGGAATTGACTCAACAGCAACGGGTTTTATTTTGGATTTTGGTATCTCTCTTCTACATGCCAGTCCTAAGTTTAAGATATTTTTTGTGTGCAGTTGACAAAACTCTGCTGTAACTTTCCTCTGGTAACCTACTGAGTAAGAAAATATGATTAACTATATTGGCTATAATACCCCAGGATTGAAACATTACAAGCACTCTCTTTTATCAAAAAATACCAGAACTTGAAAATCCTGGCCTAACAGATTAGAATGCTGTTTCAATATTATTTAAACTTAAT